CCTAGGGATAATAAAATTCGGGGGCCTGGCGGGGATAATCAACGATTTCTCCGGCGAAGGTGAGGATGATGATGATGATGATGATGATGATGATGATGATGATGATGATGATGATGATGATCCTGGACGCTCCTGGACGCTCGTGTACCCTGATGACGATGTTGGCACAAGACTGACTCGAGAGATCTCGAGTCTCGTGACTCGTGGCTAGAAACTGGCATGCGCAAAAGAGGTCCTTGGCGCTCCTGGCCAAGAAACCTCTCTTGCGCACGGCCTCGAACCAGTCGCCCATGCAGGCTCGGCACACTTTGGACCCTGGTGAGACCACAATTGCCATGCTCAGCTTTTTTTGATACTGTTGCTAGTCAACACGAGATGATAGCAACTTCGATTCGCAACTTCCCCCGGGGATTATCAAGTTCGGCCTCCGCGCCCCTCTCCACACTTAAATCCTATTGACACGGGATAAACAAGATAGATGGGGGGAAAGGGGGGGTATGATTTATTATCGGGGGCAATGGGTTATTTGTTCGCCGGGGTTTTGTCGGATTTTAGCTTTCTGCCCTTTTCGGGTTCCCGACGCTTCAACACGGCTCAAGAGCGCCCCAAGATCGCCCGAAACCAACCCAAGGAGCCTCCAGCAAAGCGCCCAGACAGCCCGACAGAGTCCCAACTGCCCCAAAAGCTCCAAATGCAGCCCACGACGGCCCCAAGAAGCGGAACACGAAACGACATGTAGGGCCCTCCGCCCCAAGATGACCGCCGAGACCGCCAGCCGGCCCCCCAGAGGGCGCCATGACGGCCCAAAAGTGCAATCAATGCAACCCAAAACGGCCTCAAGAGTGCCCGAAGAAGCGAAGCAAGAACCGGCATTTGGAACCGTTCGCCTCAAGGTGACCCTCAAGACCGCCAGAAGGCCTCCAAGAGGCCTGCGGAAGCCCCGAGAGGCCCCTAAGAGAGCCCCCGAGATCGCCCCAGACAGCGCCACGACTGCCCCCAACGCAGCCCAAGACGGCCCCAAGAGTGTCCCAAGAGATGCGAAACAACATTTCGAGCGGTCCGCCCCATAACGACCCCCGAGACCGCCAGCAGGACCTCAAGAGGCTCCCCAAAAGCCCGGGGAGGCCCCAATAAGCGCAATTTGTTGTTGTCCGTCAGTCCGTCAATGAACCCATACGCCGGAGCGCGTGGGTGAAAAGAGACGATGATTGGCCTTTACTCTCCGCTTTGCGGGAGCAGCGGCACGCCCACCGATTCTTTAGCTAGATCGTGTGCGGGTGGAAAAGGAGAGAGAGAGAGAGGCGGGGAAGAGCGGGCAGGGGCGGCTCTCTCAAACAGTGCGGATCTACATATAATTGTCTTTCACTGGTTTGTAAAACTCATCGTCAAATCTTTGAATTTTGTAGCGTTGCGCAGGCACTTCAATAATGCCCCTTCCGTGCTGAACCCGGTCACAATTCGGTCACGCAGGCACTTCGCCCACTCGTTCCTGGGTTTCCTGGGTCTCCTGCGTAATGTGGTAGTAGCTGCTTGGACCGAGCCGGGCACGAATGTGATTTTTCTCCATACGTCATCGCCGCATATTCTCCCAAGTTTACCAAACAAGAGAATTTGATACCGTAGCAGCTGTAAGCTGTAAGGTATTTGATTGGGTTGTTCCAGTACCGTCTGGTTTGACACATGCGACCTATATGAGTGCGGAATGTTCGTGATATCCCTGAAGCACCGGGCTTAGAACGCATCCATTCTGCGTCTTTCAGATTTGTTTAGTCAGGCAGAGTCGAAGGAATACATGATCTTGGTGGTTATCAAAATCTGGAAGAGCTGCAACTTCCTACTTGTGGTAATTGACGTGTACTTCCATGCACGGGAATATCTTGAGAATTCCCCCAAGCCGCCCCGAGTTGTTTCTTGAGTTCCGATGCCAATTGTCCGTTGCTGTTCAGAGTGGCGCCCAAATTAATCGTGTCACTTTGGGGAATGCTGTCTTGTCCATCCGGGGCTTGTAAGTGTAGGTCGCAATTAACTTGCATAAGCTGAAACTTGTCGCAGCGCAGCTCAATGCCAACCCTGGCGCCTGCAGCCGCGATTTCGCCCAGCAATTGTTGCAATCTGCGTTGGCAACGGCCCACCGATAGCGTGTCGCCTGTATATAATAACACGTAGCACCCTGCAGATGCGGATAAGAGCGAGGGGGCGGTGGGGACATCGGCGGTTTGCGAGACTCTGGAGAAGCCCGCCGCAGGCGCCACAGTTTTCAAATTATACAACGAGCCCGCCGCAGGCGCCCATTTTTTCGTTCAACCAATGTGGGTAGGTCGCGGGTGGGTCGCAAATGGGTCGCGAATAGGTCGCGGGTGGGTCGCGGGTGAGTCGCTGTGGGGTCGCGGGTGGGTCGCGGGTGTAAGGGCCGAAAATCCACCTTAGAATAATCACCCCGGCAAGCGAAGCCGTTCAGTAAACACACAAAAGGAATGAATCGAACAGGGCAGGGCTGTTTAGTCAACGCCCACGGCCGATTTAGTAAACGCCAATTGTCGGGTCCAGGTGGTTTTTCCTCCCTTGAGAGTGGGTCGCGGGGTGGGTCGCGGATGGGTCGCGGGGTGGGTCGCGGGTGGGTCGCGGGTGGGTCGCGGATTGGTCGCGGGGTGGGTCGCGGGGTGGGTATCGGGGTGGGTCGCGGGTGGGTCGCGGGTGGGTCGCGGGTGGGTCGCGGGGTGGGTCGCGGGTGGGTCGCGGGTTGGGTCGCGGGTTGGGTCGCGGGGTGGGTCGCGGGGTTGGTCGCGGGGTTGGTCGCGGGGTGGGTCGCGGGGTGGGTCGCGGGTGGGTCGCGGGTGGGACGACAACAACAAACAACATCAACATCAACATCAACATCAACATCAACATCAACATCAGCATCAACATCAACAACAACACCGACGCAACAAGCATAATTCTCACCACGAATTCCTTATGCAGCCACGCACCCAGGGACGATGAATGACCGTTCGGCCCCCTCACTCTGACGTAGTAATACGGACCAGTCTCCCGCCAAGAGTGCGTCTTTGGTGCGCTGTTCCAGTCTACTGGTGGCCAATCAAGCTTCTCGCGCGCCATCATTCTGCCATTCCCTTCCTCCGTCTGTCCCTACTCCTCCTGCTCCTCCTCCAACCCGCCCCTCAGGGGAGGAGGGCTCTGTTCCCATGGGAGACCGAGGCGCCTGTATCGATCCCCTCCCACCAATTCTTAGCAGCCACGCCCCGACTGCAACGAAGAGCGGCTCCCATGGTTGACCGAAGGCTAGTACGATCCAGGGGGCGCTAGCATCGAATCGATAAGTCGAATCGGGTCGACCCGAACATCGTAAATCGCCTAGCATCGAATCGATAAAATCGATTCGGATCGACCCGAACATCGTGAATCGGAATCGTGAATCGGAATGTTCGCATCGAATCGGATCGAATCGGCACCCTGGAAAATCGATGTGAATCGGCCTGGAGGAGTCGGAAAGCGCCCTGACGATCTCATGGCACACGAGTGCACCCTGAAATCTCGGACCCGTTGCCCCTCGTGGGGTATTGCTTCCGTGGGATTCAAGCCCCTTTCATGGCGCTTGCGCAGGCAACAGATGGCGCTGAAGAAACGCTGGCACGCATCTGTTCTGCTGCCAAGATCTTGGCGTTGTCTGAATCCGCCGGCTTCCCTTGCCAGGAATACAAAGGCGTTCCCCTCCAAATCATATGTCAACCCAACGTGGCTGAAATCCATTTCGTCATGTACGACATTCTATCTTATACCTCTCCCAAGACACTTCCATGGCCACTCGTTTCGTCTGGGGTCGGCGGAACGACGACAAAGTCTGAATGATAGACTGATGGATCGGATAATAAATAGGGTAGCACTGTGATAGCTTCAATTACCTCAGGAACCCATGGGTCCGATTCGAATCCAATCGGGATCAGATTTGGAATCATACTGGGATCCTATCGGAATCGCCCGATACCAAGGCAACGCTTCGACGGTGCCGGTAATGTTACAGCTCCACTGGAACGGGAAGGTTCTTAACCCCTGGCTTCCGCCGATATAAAATTGTCAATCCGCGCCCTCTGAGGTCCCGACCGCTTCCCGAGGGGTAGTTGTTCATCCCCGATATGTTTTTGATGGTCCCTAGGGGACCGTCAATCGGTCCCCGAGGACGTAATCGGAGGAAAACGCCGGGATTGGAGACATTTTATCCTTGGAGATGTGGGATCGCGCCCTGAGCCCCGACATCAAAATTTGTTCACGAATTAGGCCCCCACAGATCTGGATCCACTCCCTGGGATCAAATGTTCAGCCTGAGTCATGTCTTTCCGGTCCCGGGGCCCGGCAAGGGCCCCTACTGGGACGACCTTGGCGGGGTGCTGAGTGGATAAGGGGACTTACAAGTGGATGCTAAGGTGGGTTATACCTGGCCCAACCAGGCTTACAAGTGGGTTACACATTCCCCGAGTGGCTTAGGGGGGTTAGATAATTCCGCAAAGTGGGCGGAGCCGGATCGTCAACCCCTCTGAGCGATTCGGGTCATTTAAAACCCACGTGTAAGTCAGGATGGGCCAGATATAACTCACCTGAGCATCCACTTGCAACCCCCCCATCCACTTAGCACCCCCCCCGCGGCGATCCCCGTAGGGGCCAAATATACGACAACAACCGAAAACCTGCCATGTTTTACCTCGTCGCGAGGAAGCCTGGGTTTCTACAGAAGGGGCGGGTCGTAAGCGCCTGCTGTGGCCAGGGGGCGGACGGGCACTTCGGGGGTCTTTGGGGAAACGAAAATGGTCACGGTAGCTCCACAGACCTCTCCCCGGGAGCGTTTTGCCCAGGATTTCGACGCGAATCCAGCCATGGCAAGGGGTGCCTCCCAGGAGTCCCAAACAGGCGAAAACGAAGCACCGGTAGTGGCCAGTACCTTGTCCTCCTCTGGATCTTACTTGTCCCCTGCGGTTAGGGGGCGCGCGGGCACTGCTTGGGCGCTCCAGGATCACCGCCCCGTGGCCCTCGCTGCAGAAGGCCGCGGCCACCAGTCCGTAGTCGCCGAATCGGTCGCGGACGAAGCCCGCCCACGCCCACCTGACCGCTCTGTGGGGGGGGGGGGCGGAGCGGCACCCAGACATCCTCGTGCCGCGGGCGCCCAACTTCGCGCTTCGCGCTGCGCGAAGCGCGAATAACTTTGCGCTCTCGCGCCGCTCCCCAGGGCAGAAGAGGAAGACGAGGAGGAATCGGAGCCGAACTGGGAAGCGCGAATGATTTCGCGGCCTCGGCCTCGAGGGGCCCTTGGGTAAGTCATTGGGTTGCACACAGACACAAACCTGGGGCGTAGAACGCCCCAGCGGCGCCGCTGGAGGCGGCGCCGAGCTGTCGAGACCGCCCTGGGCTACTCCGGAGCCCTGTTGAGGCCAGCCGGGGCTACTTGCTCGGGCTGTCTGTGCGCAGCCCGGAGCTTTACCAACGTTTCGGGGAGAAGTACCACCCAAACATCCTCGCGGCTTTAGAAGAAACGAACAGCGGAAATAATTTGGCACTTTTCGGCCTCTGGGAGCTCTCGCCGGGGTCTGAGACCGTCAAACAACTACTTCGGAAAAGAGCCCCTTGGAAGGGATCCAGACAACTGAGAACCAACGGTGATAAAACAACAAAAAGCCGTCCGATGTCTGGGCCTGAGGGGGGGCATCTGGAGATACTGGCGACCCTCCCAAACGTCTTTTCGGTCATAATTTCTTTGGGCATCCCGGAGGCTTGCCAGCACGGAGAGGAAGAGGGGGAAGAGGAGCAGGAGGACGACGACGAGTGATGAGGGAGGAGGAAACTAGGGGGCAAACAAACCTACCTCGCTTTTGACCATCCTCGCTTCCATGAGATACCAAGCGATGCCAAACTACGGCCTGTACTGGTCAGGCCGCTTGACGAGGAGGCGAGTGGTATGACTTGGTTTTGCCTGGAAGCGAAAGCGAGGTAGGTAATTCACGCTCTGAGAAACGGCCGAACCCCCACCTGTGCGGCTCGCCGAGCCACGCGAGCAACGGCTGCGTGCTGTGGAACCTGCCCGGCCGCGCCGCCAGGGGGGGGGGGGGGGGGGGGGGCGAACAGGGAGGAGGCGGACAAGGAAGAAGAGGAGGGAGGAACACGAGAAATGAGCAGACAAAGAAAAAGAGGGGAGAGGAGGAGGAAGAGAAGGAGGATGAGGAAGAGGAGGAGAGATGTATAGAAACAGGGAGAAGGAGTCTCCCCCACAGTCCCTCCCTGGCAGTGGGAAGGGAGCCAGAAAGAGGGAGGAGGAAAGCCAGAGTGATCCAAAGATGCGTCAACGATGCTGCAACATACCATCTCGTCCCGAGTCACCTTCCCACGAGCCCTGCAGGAACTGTTTTCCACTGCGGAAGAAGCGCCGCCCGCCGCCCCTTTCCACACACACACACACACACACACACACCTGAAGAGGGAGGCTGACGAGAGAAGACAACGGACAACATGAGGAGGACCCTCTCCCTCGCCCCAAGACCCATCCTACGCGAATGTGCTGCCTAGTACGGTCAACGTGAAACCACAAAGATCGCGTAGCGTGGAACAAAAAGGCTGTTTTGGCCACGACGGGCCTAAGCAAAGAAAAAACCTGACAGGACAAGAACGGGAAGCGTCGCTTTAGTCCACCAAGCATGTGGAACATGCTCGGTTGTTGTTATGCCGCGCAGGTATGCCGTGGCGCGCGTGTCGGCGTGCGTGCGGGGTGTGTTTTGCTGTGCTCCTGTATGTTCTGCCGTGCTCCTGTTCTGCCGTGCTTCTGTGTTCTACTCTGTGTGTTCTGCCGTGTTCCTGTATCTGCCGTGCGGATCGTCGCGGTGGTCGTTTTGGCAGAGCTTCTGGGCGCACACGGCAGAAAAAGATCAGGAGCGCGGCATACTAGGCCACAAGAGCGAAGGAGCACGGCAGAGAAAGACAAGGAACACGGCAGAATAGACCCCAAGAGCAAATGAGTACGGCAGAATACACCCCAAAAGCTGAGGAGCACGGCAGAAAATGACCAGGAGCACGGCAGATTAGACCTCAAGAGCTAAGGAGCAGGCAGAAAAAGACCAGGAACACGGCAGATTAGGCCCCAAGAGCGAAGGAGCACGGCAGAAACAGACCAGGAGCACGGCAGAATGGACCCCAGGAGCTAAGGAGCAGGGCTGGATATGCCTCAAGTGCGAAGGAGTACGGCAGAGAAAGACCAGGAGCACGGCAGGATAGACCCCAAAAGCTAAGGAGCACGGCAGAGAATGACCAGGAGCACGGCAGAATAGGCCCCAAGAGCGAAGGAGCACGACAGAAAAAAAACAGAAGCACGCCAGAGTAGACCCCGAGAGCTGAAGGAGTGCGGGAACATAGACCCCAAGAGCGAAGGAGCAAACCAGAAAAAGACGAGGAGCACAACATAATAGAACCCAAGAGACAAGGAACACGGCAGAATATGCCCCAAGGGCCAAGGAGCACGGCAGAAAAAAAAGCAGGAGCACGGCAGACAAAGACCAGGAACACAACAGAATCGGCCCCGTGAGCGAAGGAGCACGTCGGAAACAAACCAGGAGCATGGCAGAATAGACTCCAAGAGCTGCCGAGCACGGCAGAAAAAGACCAGGAGCACGGCAGAATAGACCCCAAGAGCTAAGGAGCACGGCAGAAAAAGACCAGGAACACGGCAGATTAGGCCCCAAGAGCGAAAAAGACGCCAGACAAAGGCCAGGAGCACGGCAGAAGATGCCCCAAGAGCTAAGGACGACGGCAGAAAAGACCGAAACACAGCAGAAAAGGCCCGAGGAGCCAAGGAGTACGACAGAAAAGACCAGGAGCATGGCAGAATAGGCCCGAGGAGCGAAGGAGCCAACCAGAAAAAGACGAGGAGCACGGCAGAATAGAACCCAAGAGACAAGGAGCACGGCAGACGATGCCCCACGTGCGAAGAAGCACTGCAGAAACTGACCAAGAGCACGGCAGAATGGACCCCCAAAGCTCAGGGGCACGGCAGAAAAAGACCAGGACCACGGCAGATTAGACCTCAAGAGCTAAGGAGCAGGCAGAAAAAAAACAGGAGCACGGCATATTAGGCCCCAAGAGCGAATGAGCACGGCAGAAAAAAAAACCAGGAGCACGGCAGGATGGACCCCAGGAGCTAAGGAGCCGGGCTGGATATGCCTCAAGTGCGAAGGAGTACGGCAGAGAAAGACCAGGAGCACGGCAGGATAGACCCCAAAAGCTAAGGAGCACGGCAGAGAATGACCAAGAGCACGGCATAATAGGCCCCAAGAGCGAAGGAGCACTGCAGAAAAAAAAAAACAGAAGCACGCCAGAGTAGACCCCGAGAGCTGAAGGAGTGCGGGAACATAGACCCCAAGAGCGAAGGAGCAGACCAGAAAAAAGCGAGGAGCACAGCAGAATAGAACCCAAGAGACAAAGAACACGGCAGAATATGCCCCAAGGGCCAAGGAGCACGGCAGAAAAAAAGCAGGAGCACGGCAGACAAAGACCAGGAGCACGGCAGAAGATGCCCCAAGAGCTAAGGACGACGGCAGAAAAGACCGAAACACAGCAGAAAAGGCCCGAGGAGCCAAGGAGTACGACAGAAAAGACCAGGAGCACGGCAGAATAGGCCCGACGAGCGAAGGAGCAAACCAGAAAAAGACGAGGAGCACGGCAGAATAGAACCCAAGAGACAAGGAGCACGGCAGACGATGCCCCACGTGCGAAGAAACACTGCAGAAACTGACCAGGAGCACGGCAGAATAGACCCCCAAAGCTCAGGGGCATGGCAGAAAAAGACCAGGACCACGGCAGAATAGACCCCAGAGCTAAGGAGCACGGCAGAAAAAGACCAGGAGCACGGCAGAATAGGCCCCATGAGCGAAGGAGCACGGCAGAAAAAAAATTAGCCTGGCGAAGGACCCAACCATATGCAACTGTGAATACCGCAAGTGTGAATATCGTTTTCGGCGGCGCTACCTCTGGGTAGTGGAGACGCATGCGAACACCCCCACTGGGGCCTTCGGTGGAGCTCCCTATGGGGCTACGAAACGCTGCCCTGGGTGGGGGAACCGCATGCAGGCAGCCCCACTGGGGCCTTCGGTGGAGCTCCCTGTGGGGCCACGAAACGCTGCCCTGGGTGGGGGAACCGCATGAGGGCAGCCCCACTGGGGCCTACGGTGGAGCTCCCTATGGGGCTACGAAACGCTGCCCTGGGTGGGGGAACCGCATGTGGACACCCCCACTGGGGCCTTCGGTGGAGCTCCCTATGGGGCTACGAAACGCTGCCCTGGGTGGGGGAACCGCATGTGGACACCCCCACTGGGGCCTTCGGTGGAGCTCCCTATGGGGCCACGAAACGCTGCCCTGGGTGGGGGAACCGCATGTGGACACCCCCACTGGGGCCTTCGGTGGAGCTCCCTATGGGGCCACGAAACGCTGCCCTGGGTGGGGGAACCGCATGTGGACACCCCCACTGGGGCCTTCGGTGGAGCTCCCTATGGGGCTACGAAACGCTGCCCTGGGTGGGGGAACCGCATGTGGACACCCCCACTGGGGCCTTCGGTGGAGCTCCCTATGGGGCCACGAAACGCTGCCCTGGGTGGGGGAACCGCATGTGGACACCCCCACTGGGGCCTTCGGTGGAGCTCCCTATGGGGCCACGAAACGCTGCCCTGGGTGGGGGAACCGCATGTGGACACCCCCACTGGGGCCTTCGGTGGAGCTCCCTATGGGGCCACGAAACGCTGCCCTGGGTGGGGGAACCGCATGCGGACACCCCCACTGGGGCCTTCGGTGGAGCTCCCTATGGGGCTACGAAACGCTGCCCTGGGTGGGGGAACCGCATGCGACACCCCCACTGGGGCCTTCGGTGGAGCTCCCTATGGGGCCACGAAACGCTGCCCTGGGTGGGGGAACCGCATGTGGACACCCCCACTGGGGCCTTCGGTGGAGCTCCCTATGGGGCCACGAAACGCTGCCCTGGGTGGGGGAACCGCATGTGGACACCCCCACTGGGGCCTTCGGTGGAGCTCCCTATGGGGCCACGAAACGCTGCCCTGGGTGGGGGAACCGCATGTGGACACCCCCACTGGGGCCTTCGGTGGAGCTCCCTATGGGGCCACGAAACGCTGCCCTGGGTGGGGGAACCGCATGTGGACACCCCCACTGGGGCCTTCGGTGGAGCTCCCTATGGGGCCACGAAACGCTGCCCTGGGTGGGGGAACCGCATGTGGACACCCCCACTGGGGCCTTCGGTGGAGCTCCCTATGGGGCCACGAAACGCTGCCCTGGGTGGGGGGTGCAACCGCATGTGGACCGCCCCCCCACTGGGGCCTTCGGTGGAGCTCCCTATGGGGCTACGAAACGCTGCCCTGGGTGGGGGAACCGCATGTGGACACCCCCACTGGGGCCTTCGGTGGAGCTCCCTATGGGGCCACGAAACGCTGCCCTGGGTGGGGGAACCGCATGCGAACACCCCCACTGGGGCCTTCGGTGGAGCTCCCTATGGGGCTACGAAACGCTGCCCTGGGTGGGGGAACCGCATGCGGACACCCCCACTGGGGCCTTCGGTGGAGCTCCCTATGGGGCTACGAAACGCGTGAGAGGTGTGCCGAGAGCAGAGGCAAGGAGGGGGAGGAGGGAGGAGGGGGAAGAGGAGGAGAGGAGAGGACGCGGGCACCGTCTCTTCAAAACGAGGACCCAACACCACAGGATGGTTGGGAAAAAAAGAGCACGGCAGAATAGACCCCAAGAGCTGAGGAGCACGGCAGAAAAGGCCCCAAGAGCGAAGGAGCATGACAGAAAAAAAACAGGAGCACGGCAGAATAGACCTCAAGAGCTGAGGAGCACGGCAGAATAGGCGCCAGGAAAGAAGGAGCATTGCAAAACACGATCAGTGACCAGGAACACAGCAGAATAGACCGCGAGAGCTAAGGAGCACGGCAAGATAGATGCAAGAATACAGCATAATACGCCCCAAGGAAGAAGGAGTATGCAAGAAAAACACAAGGAGCACGGCATAATAAACCCCGAAAGCGAAGGAG